AATCGATAGACTTCAACAAGGGGAATACACGTGTGTAGATTTGGGGGAGGGTTAAAAGAAGCATCTTTAAAAAGGTAGGTAAGAATTGGTTGGGATTCCCCGACCTAAAACACGAGTGTGGCGCATTTCTAAGCGCGCGGAAACTAACGAGAGAAAAGAAAGTTGACACGAGTGAGAATCTCTCACCTAGGCACTTTCCAAATCAATAGACTTCCACAAGTAAAATACTCGTGTGAAGATTTGGGGAGGGGTAAAAGTAGTGTCTTTAAAAAGTTAGAAAACATTGGTTGGGATCCTCGCACCTAAAAGGCGAGTGTGGCGCATCTCTAAACACGTGACAATATACGAGAGAGAAAAAAGTTGATATGGGTGCCAATCTCCAACCGGAACACAGTCCAAATTGACAGACTTCCACAAGTTAAATACACGTGTGTAGATTTGAAAAAGGGCCAAATCAGGCATCTTCAAGAATTCTAATAAGCATAGTTTGAAATTGTTACGGGTATCGTTGTAGAGCAGAGTTGTTTCCAGACAGAACTCAGGATCGCCGGTAACAGCAACAAACTAATTTATTTCCTAAGATAACTTCACGAATTTACAGTACTAAGCTTCTTCAAATTTGAATCAATCTCTTTTACAGCAGAACCTCTCGCTCTAATATACATGAGGCTTAAAGTTCTAGAAACTTCTATTTGGAACTAAGTTAAGTAGTTTGACACAGTTTCTAATCTGAGTAATAACATAAGGATTAGAATGTTCTGGAATGTCCTAATACAAATTGGTCACGGCTGAATGACTTCAGGTTCTAGATTGTTCTAGAACTAGACTTAGACAATTTTTAGTGACAGAAATGCCGTCACAGCATCTTTTAGAAGTTCGGTAAGCATAGTTTGAGATCCCGACACCAAAACCACAAGTGGGGCGCATCTCTAAACGCGCGAGATATCATTATAGAAAAGAATGTTGATATAGGCGAGGATCTCTCAGCCAAGCACTGTCCAAATCGATAGACTTCCACAAGTTAAATACACGTGTGTATAGTTTTGGGAGGGCTAAAAGTAGCATCTTTAAAAAGTTAGGTGAGCATTGGTTGGGATTCCCGCGCCTAAAACGCGAGTGTGGCGCATTTCTAAACGCACGAGAACTTACGAGATGAAAGAAAGTTGATATGGGCGAGAATCTCCAACCCAAACACTGTGCAAATCGATAGACTCCCACAAGTTAATTACATGTGTGTAGTTTTGCGGGAGGGCTAAAATTTGCATCTTTAAAAAGTTAGGCAAGCACTGGTTGGGATCAGAGTTTGGCGCATCTCTAATGGCGCGAGAACTTACGAGAAAAAAGAAAGTTGAAAGGGGCGCGAATCTTAAACCTAAGCACCGTCCAAATCGATAGACTTCCACAAGTGAAATAAGTTTGTGTAGATTTGATGGATGGCCAAAACTAGCCATTTAAAGAGCCCCTTAAGCATAGTTTGGCATCCTTACACGGGAGTGTGCCGCATCGCTAAACGCGCGAAAACATGCGAGTGTTGAAAAGATATAAATGGGAGAGAATCTTTAAACCAGGCTTTGTCCAAAGCGACAGCTTTTTACAAGTGAAATACACTTGTTTAGATTTAGGAAAGGACCAAATGTAGCATCTTTAAAAAGTCCAATAAGCATAGTTTGAGATCACGACACCAAAATCGCGAGTTTGGCGCATCTCTAAACGCGCAAAAACGCGCTAGAGAAAAAAAAAATTAAATGGGCGAGAATATCCATACCAAGCATTTTCTAAAGCGACAGACTTCCACAAAACGCGCGTGTGACGCATCTCTAAACGCGCGAGAACTTACGAGAAAAAAGAAAGTTGATATGTGCTAGAATCTCAACCCAAACACTGTGCAAATCGATAGTTCTCCACAAGTGAAATACACGCATGTAGATTTCGGGGAGGGCTAAAAGTAGCATCTTTAAGAAGGTTAGGTAAGCATTGATTCGTATCCTTGCACCTAAGACGAGAGTGAGGCGCATCTCTAAACGCGCGAGAACTTACTAGAGAAAAGAGAGTTGATGTAGGCGAGAATCTCTTACCAGGCGACAAAGGCTCTTTTCGCATTAGAAAAACTCTGGAGGCTTGGCACCATAATTAAGTCGATTCCAAACCAGTGTAGTATTCTTTTAAACAATAGTCACCTAATTCAGACATTTTTACTTTGCTTTTGTTCTTCTTATTATCTCACCTTTTCTTGTTGCCTCACGTTCATTTTGACGTTCGCCCGCCATTTTGTGCAGTGTCATGCAAATCACGTAAATAGAGCGGGTGTTGTGATTGGCTGACAGTTACGAAGTTACGTTTGCCAATCGTTCACACTTCAAATACGAGTTTACCACCATTAGAAAGCTGTTGAAAAAGTTGGCAAGAATAGAGACAAGTTCTATTTGTCGCCAACAGTTTGTCAATTACGTGTCTGCCGACGGTTTTTTTTTTTTTT